CGTTCCTACAGCCCTTCAATCCTATCAGCGTCCCGGGGGCGGTCTCGTTGTTGAGGCGGAAGATGCGGCCGAAATTGCGCCCCCCCCCGGCAACAGTATCGTGGCGACAGTCGGGAACGCCGCAGAGGGCGCGCGTGCGCTCGGAGACCGGCCTCCTCCCGAATGGAGGTCCACTACGCCCCCCCGAGCGGATGATGGAGGATATCTCGAGCTTCCTCGCAGCATAGAGAGTCAGGAGTTCACACTGGAACGTGCGGCCTTCAGCTGCAGTAGTCCCCTGGGAAAGCTGCAGACCGAACAGGCGGTCGTCAGCCACGGCGCGCCGGTGCCTTCCCCTCCAGGAGACAACCAAGCAGGCGTTCCTACAACCCCTCACTCCTATCAGCGTCCCGGGGGCGGTCTCGTTGTTGAGGTGGAATATGCGGCCGAAATTGCGTGCCCTCCTGGCAACAGTATCGTGGCGACTGCCGGGAATGCCGTAGAGGGCGCGCCTGCGCTCGGAGACCGGCCTCCTCCCGAGAGGAGGTCCACGACGTTTCTCCGAGCGGATGGTGGAGGATATCTCGAGCCTCCTCGCAGCATAGAGAGTCAGGAGTTCACGCTGGAACGTGCGGCCTTCAGCTGCAGTAGTCCCCAGGGAGTGCTACAGACCGAACAGGCGGTCGTCAGCCACGGCGCGCCGGTGCCGTCCCCTCCAGGAGACAACCAAGCAGGCGTTCCTACAACCCCTCACTCCTATCAGCGTCCCGGGGGCGGTCTCGTTGTTGAGGCGGAAGATGCTGCCGAAATTGCGTCCCCTCACTCCTACCAGCGCCCTGGGAGCAGAGTCTTGGCGGACGCCGGATATGCGCCCGAAATGGCGCACTCTCCTGGCAACAGCATCGCGACGACAGTTCGGAATGCTGCGGACGGCACTGCGGAAATCGGAGACATTCCGCGCGCTACAGACAGCCAGGAGGTCGTAAATCCAAGCGCGGCCGTCAGTTGTTACAGTTCTCGCGTCGTGGGAGTGCGCGAAAGTGTGACTGACAGCGGCCCTGGGCGCTCACGATTGGAGGTTTCGCTTAACTCCTGGAGGTGCGTGCGGGCCACAGGCGGGCGCGTGTTTGCGATCGGTACTGACCCTCCAGCCAGCGCCTCCGAGGCCATCCCCGTGGCCGACGGCCGCTACGGAGCCCATTACTTGCAAAGCCTGGGGCTGTCGATACATCTGGTTGGCGGCGAGACCCAACAACGCCCCGCTGCGACTCCGCCCGCCGCCGCCCCTGGCACTCTCGAAGACCCGTCGCTGGGGAACCACGAACATGCCTTGCATAGGCAGGACATCGAGGCCATCCGCCAGCTTGTCGAGAGAAGTCCCTTCGCGCCCATTCGCCCTCGTTCCCCTGTCAGCGAATCCGCCCGAACGGACAGCGAACCGCAGCCACTCCCTCCCGAAGGCCGGACCACGCTGAGGAAGGTGACTCCCGTCCAGGCGAAAGAAACGGTGTCTGACAACGTGCCGGGGCCAGGCGCGACCCGCAGCACACCCACACATGGCGAATGTCGCGCTGCGACAGACGGGGGCGCGCTCGTGGACGAGGGCGGGCGCGGGTCTGGAGGCGAGCGCCAACGGGAGGGGCCTGCCCCCGCTTACCACAGTGCAGCGTTCCACTCCGCCCCAGCTGCTGGAGGCGACTCGGCCTTTACCTGGCGGCCAACCGTGCGGCCCGCGCCAACCCGCAAGTCCCCGCCAGGCTTCCGTGCCCCAGTAGCCGCCGCGCCTCGCGAAGCCATAGACGATTCCGGCGGCGGGCCCAACCAGTCGGAACAGTCGCAGAGCAGCGAACGTGAGCAGCATGCGGAGCAGGAGCCGGAAGAACCCGATGAACAGGAGCTGCCGGCCGCCCACGGGGAGGGCGCGGAAGTAGCGCCAGCGCAGGAATGGGAGCATGGGCAAGAACAGGAACAAGCCACCACCCACCGCCACACTCCCCTGGCTGACACTACTTGCCCTGGCCCCTCCCTCCCTGGCAATGGCGCGAGCTCGCGCGCCGAGGAACAACGGCAACGCGGCCGGAACGCTCCCCCAGCGCGTCTTCGTGGCAGCGGGTGGACGCCCCGCCTAGCCTCTGCGACTGGCGACCCTCCAGTCTCCCCGCCGCCCCTGGGCCGAAACCTGGCCCGTAGCGACGCCGACCGCGCTGGCGGGTCTGGTGGGCGGCAGACGGCAGGCGGCGGACGCAGCAGCAGCAGCCGCAGAAGCAGCAGCAGGCGCCGCGCCGAGGGCCAGCCGCTGACCACCCCGCCCCTGGTAGCGGGCCCCGCCGCGCGTCACTGTCCAGAACCTTTAGACCCAGACACGGGACAGCAGCTATATAAAGCTAAGATCGGCGGCATCCAGTGGGGCCCCCCCGGGGAGACACCTGGCGAGACGATAAAGCGGCTTCAGGTCACCCTGGGGGCGAGGTTCACAGGCGCCTGGCACGCGTTCGCCCAGCAGCGCGCCATGCCTGGCAGCAAAGGCGCGCTCGACCCGCGGCGGCACGACCAGCAAACGTGCGTCAATTTCCTGTCCTCCTTCCGCAGCCATAACTGCGACGTGCGGGCCATGGGCGACGCGCTGGACCTCGGCGTTGACTGGGCGCAGTTGCGGCTTCGGTACCTGGGTGGAAATGACGGCGCGGGCAGGGGGGGCCAGGCGGCGAAGGGCCACGCTGATCGCCACGCACCCAGGAAGGACCAGAAGTTTCAGGGGCAGCGTCTGTTTTCCTCTCTCTGTGCAGCCTTCAGCTGCCTCCCTGGGTTACGTTTCATATACTCGGGTGGCGGCCTTCCGCCGCCCTCCCTGGTACACGCACTTCCTGCCCTTGGACCCAAGTGTGTTTACCAGCAATACCGTCTGCATGGCATCACGGGGGCGTGTTGCTTGCAGCCCATAGTTGGCCCCGGCCCTGCTGTAGTTGTTTTCACCTCTGGCCCTGGTGGACTTCGTCCCCCGGCCCCGCGGCTCTGTGACCGACGCCGATGGAGTTGCCTCGTCTCCGTCCAGATCCGCACTCACCACGCTCCCTGGGTTCTCAAAGGTACTGCGGCCTTCCGCTGCTCTTCAGTTCACATAAAACTTGCGTGGCGGCCTTCTGCCGCCCTCCCTGGCGCACGCACTTCCTGCCTTTGGACCCAAGTGTGTTTACCAGCAATACCGTCTGCATGACAGCGCTGGGGCGTGTTGCGTGCAGGCCATAGTTGGCCCCCGGCCCCGCTGTAGTTGTTTTCACCTCTGGCCCTGCCGGACGTCGTCCGCTGGCCTCGCGGCTCTGTGACCGACGCAAAGATGGCTTCGCCTCGTCACGGTCCAGATCCGCACTTACACTCCCTGGGCTTCTTCGTGACCGCTGGTTGTTGCTTGGGCTGCAGTTGGTAAGCGGCAGCACAGTTTTCCCAGAGCGCCACCTCTTGCACTTCCCTCTGGTACGCCAGGGTACCAAGGATAGGCGGGTCGGGTTCGTCACGTTAGATGCGCCCTGGTACGCGTCCCTGCTCTTATCTACGGTTGGCAGTCGCCTGCGACTTGTGCCTAGTAGAGGATTGGGACAGTTGCACCTTCCGCATAGCGTCACATCACGTTACCTGATGGCTCGCTGGCGATCGCATATGGTCCAGGTTGTCTTGGGCCGACGTGCTTCGTTTGGTTACAGACACCACGAATCTCGCGCCTTTTGGTCGCGTTGGTGCGTACTCTGAAGCTGCGACGGTTCGCTGGCGCTGTCAGAGTCCAACCTCTCCTATGGTATGCAGTCTGGCGACAGCTTGCGTGTCTCTCGGTCGCTCTGCTTGAGCATGGCAGACACCCTGGGCCCCCTTCGTTCGTCATTCCCGCGCCGAGGTTGGCAGGCTCCATGCTGTTCTGATTTCCTTGACACGGTGGGGGTCTTGCATCGCGCCATTTTGGCAGCGTAATTACTGCTCCCTGGGTGCTGGTTGCCGTCAGACTCCCTGGGTTGCAGCACCCCTGCACCCGCCGCTTGGCGCCGGCCGCGCTCGCGCGCGCTATCGGCCAATTTGTAGCGGCCGCAGCCCGACCGTTACCCGCCGCCGCTGGCGCATCCGCCTGCGGCTGTAAAAAAAATATCCCCACCGGCTTTCTTCGACTTCGACTTATAAGCGCGTTGCTTGCTCGCCGCTTCTGTCCCTGGCCGCGGCATTGAGGTTTGGTTGACCCTTGTGACGGCGCGCGGCTCTCCCGCTTGCGCTCGCGAGCAAAAAGTAGCCCCACCGGCTCCCTCCTCGTCATGGTCATCGTCCCGGTCTGCCAGTTTTTACGTCCTGTTGGACGCTGAGTCCGCGTCTGAGCCGGGCGTTGCTCCGTACTGTGTTTCCCTGTCGCTTCGGCGCGGCCCGCCCTAGCTTTGCCCGGCTCCCGACCTGCTTCGCGAGCCCACGTGCCAAACAAGTATCCCCACTGGCCCATCCAGAAACAATCACCCGGCGTGTTGCCATGATCAGGAACATGTAGCAGCGTGTCGGGGCCACCGTGGGGCCCTCTATTGAGGCCCTGGAGAGCGCCACAGGAGGCATGCACTCGCGAGCCACGAGCTTCTCCCGGCGTGGGGCGGGGAGGGGGGCTCCGGGAGACTCGCAGCATGCGCTCTCCAATGTGTCGTTGGTTGGTTGCATGAAGTCGGGCCTGTCCCTCTACAGGGGGAGTATTCAAAAATTGTCAAAACATAGTCTGGGAACGATTTTTGTTGGTACGTTGTTTATCTGTTTGGGGGCGTCTTCTGGATATGTTTTATATTTCGCCCAAAATCGGCCTGTAGAGGGACATACTCGGCTAATGGTTGTAAGGTACTGCGGCTCAGGGGGCACGGCCCGGATTGGTTCGGGAGCCCAGAAGCCGATTTGCTGCTGTTTCTCTAGGGCCCACGAGCGGGACGACCCACCGTAGGACTGGCGCCCCACTCGAGCGCAGTGCACCCCGATTGCACGACCCCCCCTCGCCGCTCGGCGAGCGCCGCCAGGTGGCTCAGTACACCCAGCTGCTCGCCGCCAGCTGCCACGAGGGCGACTTCATCGCAGGGCGGATCGCGGCAGTGCTGCAGGCGCAGGCGCAGGCGACAAGGGGGGGGGCGGTCCACGTCGCTCCGACACCTTGCCGAGCCCGAGGGCGTGGCTGGCCTCACGGCCGTCGCAAATGAGCGCAGAATTGGGACGCGAACGCACTGGTCAACGTTGCCGTGAGTTCCCGGTGGTGTAAGCGTGTTGGTGGAAGCTGACTGTAAATTTTGCCAGGGCAGTCACGCAATGCATAGGCAGCTTTGAGCTGGTTGTCCAGAATTTGCTGCTTCTCCGTAACATGTTGCTTCCATGCTTTTCCTGGAGCTGTCGTTGCTGCGTTGCTGCAGGGCCACATCGTTCCTCTCACCAGCAAGAGGTTGTCGGTTCCTCCGCAGGCCGACGCCAGGGTGGCCCCAGCCCCAGCTGCGCCCGCAGTACCATCAGCGGTCTTGGAAGCGCCACCGGAGCTGGCGACACCCTCGGCGCGTACAGCTCTTAGTGTGTGCCGATCTGCGCTCGTTCGGCACCGAGCAATCATCGCGATCGCGCGCGATCGTCACGTTATGGAATGTGTGTAGGTGTGTGCGTGTTTGATCCTACGGCGTTCAAGGGGGGGATTGGCGTGGTAGTCGGCATTGCGGTGAGACATGCATCAAGGCACCATCCTGAGTCTGCAGCAGATGACACCAGGCCCGCCAATTGGGGAGGGAAGACATGGAGGGGACGGATGACCCCTGCGTATGGAGAGTTTGACTGTGGGCGCAAAATCTTGCAGGGACTGACAGAGTCCGCGTTCGCTCGATTCGGTGGTTCTGAGCGTTGCAGAAGTGCTTGAGTAGGGTATATTATTGTCGGCGGCCCATCATGGTGCCTGAACGTTTAATGTAAGCTGATTTCCGTACGTGCGTGTTGCTGGAAGCCGCCGCCATGTTAATATCTTTGTCACGGGGGCCTGAAGCCAAGTTGAAATTCTTGTATTTTTCCGATAGGACAGGCCTCCCCCACCCCCCCCCACCCCACCTCCGTCAAAAAGAGCGTTCAGGATGCAGGAGACACAAGGATTGAGTGGTCCTCGACACTTGTTCAGTAGTGCACGACGGTCGCGACCGCCTCCTGGAAGGAGTGTCCTGACCGCCATTCATGATTCCCTGAATTTCGCTGGCCGACCATTGTCGTGATCTTCATATCCTGCATGCTCGATTCCCTGGAATCCAGCCCTAGGGTGGCTTGGGCAGGTCGAGGCGCACCGACAGCGCGGGAGCGCCGCACGTGCTGTTGGCAGCGCAGTCAGACACGGCATCAGAGAGGCGTCGTTCATTCTAGCCGTGGGACCCAGGTGACTCAGCCTGCTCCCGAATGTCATGCTTAGAACCTCCCCTGTACAGGAACAAGATCACGTCGGCGCCAACCTTCCGTTACGGCTGCAGCTGGGGTGGGTGCAGGGGTGGGGCGTGAGAGGTTCTGAATTTCTTTTGTGGGAGTATGCGCTATGTGGCGTGGACTGATACTTTGCCCAGCCATCCACTCTTTCTGCTCTCCGCCCCCACCCCATCTGCCATCGAGGGGGGCTGTGAAGCAGACGGAAGACGATAAAGGTGGTGACCGTAACGAGGATCGCATACCTTTGCCAAGCTCAACGACTGGTTCGGATACTGTTTGGGGCCAGGGTCGGGACAGGAGCCGACACGGCCTGAGGCCCTCGGTGCGCAAGCTTCCTGTGCGATTCGTGTCGGGGCTTCCCGCAGCTGCTGAGTCTACGCGCATGTGACATGTGGAACGGTCATCGGGTGCGCGATTCGTCCCATCAGCTTCCCTCCTCCTCCTCCTCCTCCTCCTCCTCCTCCTCCTCCTCCTCCTCCTCCTCCTACCCCTCCTCCCCCTCCTCCTCCTCCTCCTCCTCCCCCTCCTCCTCCTCCTCCCAAACAGTCTCGCTGAGAGAACATCGAACAGAACTAAAGCCTCGCCGGACCCACCCGGCGGGCGAGCCAGGAAACGAGGCGGCTACGCAGCGAGAAGTTTCCCCGGACGCGGCCGACTCCCCATGGGGAGCCCGAGGCAGAACCCCGAAGCGCCAGCGCTGTCTGGGGGGCTGCCTCCCGGGTGGCCTTCCCTCGGAGATTGATAAACCTCCTACCTTGACACGTCGATTAGTGAATTGGCCGTTTTTGGTTCGCGAGAGGGCGCCGCGGCCGTCATTTTTGCGGGTAAAGGTCCGTCGGTTTCGGTCCCAGGGCCGTTTTCACTAAGGGGAGGTCTACCAAAGGGAGGTGTGTCCACCGCCGAGATGGGTGCAGCTTCTAGTTCACGATTGGCTTCGCCCAGGTTGACCATCGACGGTCCAAACGCGGAAGCCAGGAGCGCCTCTGGCTCTCAAAGAGTTGTTGTTGTTGTTGTTGAATATTATTACTTCTAAAGAATAATTATTGTTGGGCCCCCTGGTGCACGCCCCCCCCGCCGCGCCTAGGCCGCAGCCACGTTTTCATCATTTTCGTGAGGAAGCCTCAGGTAATGGATGTGATCCAGATCCGGTTGTTTTGTTGTAATCCGTTTTCCCTTGCAAAAAACAATATAAAATGACATTTCTTGTTCTAATATAATCAAATTTCAAGAATCCCTTGCAAAAAATAAGGTAAAGTGGACATTCGCGCGCGCAAGACGAAATCCTTCCAAAAGCTTAGTGTTCGGAGCGATTTTAACATAAAAACATCAAAAAACCAATGGTTTTTCAACAAAAAAATGTCAAAATCTCATCCCGCGCGCTCTTGCGGATTCGTAGGAAACCCAACACTTTTTAAACATTTCTGTCAAACGGGCGAGCAACTTTTTCGAACTTCTGAGGTTGCGCAAGGGCCATCATCCCTTTACCATGCGGGACACATTCGTGCGCGCGCAACTTCCGCATGCCACGAAGTGCCGAACGTCATAGGGCTGCGAAGAGTCAACTTGCCTAAAGAATACCATGCGCCGCCTAGGCCGCAGCTACATTTTCATCCGTGAGGAAGCCTCAGCGATGGATCAATCAAAAAACCATGTTCGGCACAAGACGAAATCCTTCGTGTTCGCAGCGATTTTAACGGTTTTTCGGCGCGCTCTTGCGGATTCGTAGGAAACCCAACGTCAAACGGGCTTTTGCGAGCAACTTTTTCGAACTTCTGCCAACGGTTGCGCACCTGCCAGGGCCATCATCCCTGTCAAATAATACCATGCGGGACACATTCGTTTTTTCTTCGCGCGCGCACGCCACGGTCGTCCGCATGCCACGAAGTGAAGTGTCCGAACGTCATAGGGCGGGAAGCTGGGTGTGGGTGGTGGCGAAGAGTCGTTTGGAAATTTGGTAGAGCTTGAACCGGCCCCCCCACAAAGTGGGGGTATTGCCCGCCTCCTATGAAAACCCTGGCACTGGTGAGAACGGAGTGTCCCCAGTCTAAATGATTGTTGTTGTTGTTGTTGAACATTATTTATTCTAAAGAATAATTATTGTTGGGCCCCCTGGTGCGCGCCCCCCCTGCGCCGCCTAGGCCGCAGCTACATTTTCATCATTTTCGTGAGGAAGCCTCAGGTAAAAGATGTGTACAGGATCCGGTTGTTTTGTTGTAATCCGCTTTTCCCTTGCAAAAAACAATATAAAATGACATTTCTTGTTCTAATATAATCAAATTTCAAGAATCCCTTGCAAAAAATAAGGTAAAGTGGACATTCGCGCGCGCAAGACGAAATCCTTCCAAAAGCTTAGTGTTCGGAGCGATTTTAACATAAAAACATCAAAAAACCAATGGTTTTTCAACAAAAAAATGTCAAAATCTCATCCCGCGCGCTCTTGCGGATTCGTAGGAAACCCAACACTTTTTAAACATTTCTGTCAAACGGGCTTTTGCGAGCAACTTTTTCGAACTTTGCGACAACGGTTGCGCACCTGCCAGGGCCATCATCCCTGTCAAATAATACCATGCGGGACACATTCGTTTTTTCTTCGCGCGCGCACGTGATACCAGTCAAAATAAGGGTCTTGGCTTGTGTGGTACAGAAACGTTAAAACGTCGGAAAACGGTACACGTGCCCATTGTTGGAACAGGGGTATAAGTCGTATACTAAGCTAGTTTCCACAAGATGTTACCACAAGAAGTCATTGTAACCATGCGCCAGTGTAGTAGCCAAGGTCGTCCGCAGGCCACGAAGTGAAGTGTCCGAACGTCATAGGGCGGGAAGCTGGGTGTGGGTGGTGGCGAAGAGTCGTTTGGAAATTTGGTAGAGCTTGAACCGGCCCCCCCACAAAGTGGGGGTATTGCCCGCCTCCTATGAAAACCCTGGCACTGGTGAGAACGGAGTGTCCCCAGTCTTAAATGATTGTTGTTGTTGTTGTTGTTGTTGTTGTTGTTGAATTCTCATTCTTGAAGAATAATTATTGTTGATCCCCCCCCACCGGTGCACATTGATTTTTTTCGATTGAAGTGCCACCCCCGGGGCTCGCACCTTGTTTTTTCTCAAGGAAAGTCTTCCTGCTTAAACTATGCCCCTGCCCCCCGGGCTACAACAACAACGGCTCCCGCTTGAGACTTCCTCGATTTTTACTCAGGACCCCCCGCTCCCGCCTGAGACTTTCTGACTCCTTCGCGATTCGCAGGCGCTCCCGTCTGAGACTATCCTCGCAATTTATCAAGACCGCCCGCCACCCGCCTGAGACTTCCGTGCAAATTTAACGTGGGAACGCGCTCCCCGCCTGAGACTCTTCGAAATAAACTCATGACCCCCGCTCCGGCTTGACATTTCTGACAATTCCGCGCAATTGACTCAGGAACGGCGCTCCCGCCTGAGACTTCCTCGCAATTTAGTGATGACCCCCGCTCCCGCCTGAGACTTCCGTGCAATTTGCTCAGGAACGGCGCTCCCGCTTGAGACTTCCTCGCAACTTAGTCAGGGCCCCCGCTTCCGCTTGAGATTTCCTCACAATGCGCTCAGGACTGCGCTCTCGCGTGCGACGTCCTCACAAATTATTCTGGAATTGCGTTTCGGCGCTCAGGAACCACGCGCGCGCCAAGGACGCCTTCACAACGTGGTATCTTCCCTCTTCCTTCGTCCTTCCCCCACCCCTTCCTCCCACTCTCCCTCGTTCTTCCCCTCCTCCTCTTGCAGGGCCCGCGCCAATTCCAATGGCGGGCAGAGAGATGTACGCCCCCGAAGGATTGTCCGCCCGTTCCGGTTTGCCCGTACGTCTAAGCCCGCCGGCCCCAGCAAAGAGAAATAATCCCCCCGAAAGTGGTGTGATCGAAGACGAAGAGGGCGGGTATCGAGGGTGTAGGGTATACGTGTTGAATGACTCGCGGGCAAGTAAGAGCGTACAGCCTTAAAATGGTTGTTGTTGTTGTTGTTGTTGTTGTTGTTGTTGTTGTTGTTGTTGTTGTTGTTGTTTTGTGTGTGTGTGTGTGTGTTTGTTTGTTTGTGTGTGTGTGTTTTGTGTTTTTGTTGCTGTTGTTGCCAATTTCGGCCTCGGGGGGCCCTCGGCAGGCCTCGGGACCGTCCAAATCTTGCTCAGGATGACGAGTTGGTCTTGGGGAAAAAGGGCCGGGACTCCCAGGGACCCTGTATCATGGAAAGAATCAGGACGTCGCATGTCTGGGTCTGGGCCTGGGGCTGACACGGCCGTGGCCCGCGACACGCTGCTCAGCTGCTGACTGCCCATTGGTGGCCGGGTTTG